CAATAAAAGAATTAAACTATCGGAAAGCGGGTCTTGTCCCGGATGGCTAGCGCGTTCGTACATTGCCTGTGAGGTGCGGTGTTCGAAACATCACGACGCACATTTTTTGAAAGTGTTTGCAGAAAAACGTAAAAAAAAATACGACGGGCCGGCCCAGTGCGCGCCGTAGTCCAATATTCGAAACATCACGATGCACATTTTTTGAAAGTTTTTGCAGAAAAACGTAAAGAAAATATACAATGGGCCGGCCCAGTGCGCGCCGTAGTCAATATTACCGCTGCTTGGCCCACGAGCCATACAAATCCCTGCCACGTCAGCGTTTTTATGCCTCAAACGATGTCAAGGTTCGATTTAGACCGGGATTGCGTAGTTCAGGGTGCAATCGACCGGGATTTTGACTTGAGGGTTCATTTCGCCAAACCTCTACGAGTTCAGGATTTAAAATAGACTTTTTCCCCTGCCAAACTATCATGAAAGGAAGAAGCTAGAAATGACACGGTACACGCACGTACGCACGAGCCGAGTTTCGCCGGGCGCGCTGCAAATGAGCTTAGCTGGAGCGTTCCCCGTCGCGACCGCGGCATTTAGGAGCGACGCGAAAGGCTGGGGCGCCGTTTGCCAAATCGAACCCAAGCCAGGCCAGCCAAGGGCACACGGAAAAAACTATTTCCTTGGCGAGGATGATCGTAGCATGGCCTAAAATGAAATGAAATGAATGGAATGGAATCGAGCCCCTCCTCGGTCCTCGCTCGTCGACGCGCAGCGCAGGGTGGGAGGGAGGGAGGGCGGGACCGCCGTGTGCGGGAGGGGGGCGGTGGGGCCGGGCGCACCCCCCACGGGGCTTGCATGTTGGCTCGATTGCTTGCTCCGCTTGCGTTGCATGTCCCCACGGCCGGGGCGTGGGCCCGCCTTTCGTGGTAGGCGCCACACATGCAGCAGCAGGATCGCCTCCGCCTCGCCGGGGAAAGGAAGGGATCGGCATCGTCGCGCCTAGCTAGTCCCGGCGCCCGCGTGGGCCCGCCCCCCTTTCCTGTGGGCACGCATCGCTCTCCTGCTTGGTGCTGGCTAGGTCAAATTGCCCCGAGTTTTGCCCATTGCCAGCAGGACCTCCATCGGTCGACACATGCCCCTGACCCTGACCCTGATGCTGCTCTCTCTTTTTTTCTTCTTCCAGAAAACAAAAAGGAAGGAGTGTATGGTGCTCCTTTGATTCACCACTGCTTTGATTGGTCCAATAAACATCTACCCTAGGCCTGGAATTGTCAACCGAGATTAAGGTGCTGGCAAAAGTCGATCCAAATCACCCAAAAAGTGACGCTGGTACCATATGTGCATGCACCTACAAGGTCCATGTAAATTGCGCCTGCCGCCTCCCGAGAGAGTCGTCGATGCCGGTCGCTGTTCTTGGAGTTCGGCCGGCCAGGGTGATCCGTGGCCGAAGAAGACGCTGCTGATAGATTCCGGAAGTCCTAGTTTGACAGACCATGGCAGACGGCGATAGGGAGCAGTTTGTGGAACACAAGGAGATGAGAAGATTGAAAGCCTATCCTCAACATGTATACTACGTATGCCTCGGCGCTTAATTACTTCCAGAGCAAGCAACCAGAGCCTATCCTGACACATGTTCTTTCCGCGTGCCAAGAACAGGGCGGTAATTTTGCCACACACCACGTACAAGTAGTACAGTGTATTGATTCCCACCCCTTGCATGCATATATACATATACCACAGTGGCACGTACAGTGGAGTAGATTGCACGTACTCCCTCCGTCCGGGTTTATTAGGCCTAAAGACAACTTCTTTTAGACCAAGACACATAGTAATTTGCTTACATTAATTCTTCCATTTCACTCCCAATGTACTCTCTCACATGCATGCAACCAATGAAAAAGCACACATGAAGTGTATTAACTTTTCAGCCATGGCACCAACAACAATAGCTTTCAATACAACCAATGAAATGGTTGCATGCATGCACCTTTCCAACGCGGGGCCTTATAAAAGGGGACATGCTTGTGATGCTAAAAGGCCTAATAAATCCGGACGGAGGGAGTACGAGATAAAGCTGCGGCTGCCGATTCACGCAGATGCTGTACCCATACAAGCAGGCTGTGGTGCGTCTCTGCAACAAATGCATGTACAGCTGACTGACAGAAGCCACGCTATCGTCTCGTGTATTAGTAGGAGTAGTAGTAGGCTGAAGCTGCATGCGCGGCCCGAGCCGATGGTGAAGCCGCCGGAACCACAAACGCTGTCCTGTGCTCTCCTCACCGCCGCAGAGGCGCAGACCAATCTGCAGCAGCCATCTACGGGCGGCAGGCAGCAGGCAGCGCCATTAATGCCGTCCCTCGAAGTGAGCACAGAGCCGAGCAGTGTCGATCTACGTCGCCGTCCTCCCTTGCCCTTTTCAAGAGCTGCCCAAATTACCGTTCAGTACAAAGATGGCAATACAGCCACCGTTTTACCGCGAATTTCTACCCAACGGCCGCCGGCCGTAGGAAATTCGCGCGCTAGCCCAATGGTCGATCCATGATCTCCCGTGCTACTAGTAGAGCACGCACTATCACCACCACTTGAAGGATTGGACGCACTTTGATGCGTCATTGGTGTTGTTGGGTTTTAAAAAATCATTTAAAAATGTAAAATGTATTTTTTTTAAAACAAGCCTTTTAAGTTTGAACAAATTTGCAGAGAAGTATATCGAAATCCATAATATCAAATCGGCATGATTAGATTAGTCATGAAATAAGTTTTCATGCTTTTTAAATATTGTGGATGTCGATATTTCCTACTTTGAACTTAGTCAAAGCTAAAGAAATCTAACTTTATAAAAAACTAGTACCCCTCATATTTTGGAACTAATGGAATATTTATTTTGACGGGTGGATGAGATGAGATGATAGAGTGTGTTTTACTTTTATTTATATTGTGGTGATTTGATGGGCCTTTCTTACAGTGTAGTTCTGTATTATTCGCTAATCAACATTTATTTATATGTGAACAAATTGTGTCGGTGGCTGCATGTGTTATCCGTTTCTTTTTTCTAGGTGATGGGAGGGTGCACAGGATCAGTGGCGGAGCTACAATCAAAAGCATGGGCGGGCCAGTCTGAAGAGAAGCCCAGTTTTGTTAATAATTATGACCCACATTTACTCTTAGCCCAGCCTGTTGCAGTAAAATTTGGGCGGGCCATGGCCCTTTTTGCTACAACATAGCTCCGCCAATGCACGGGATTGATATACTGTATCTTTTATGGGCCGTTGCTATTGATTGATTTAAAAAAATCATTGTGTTGGTCAAATCGTATATCAAATCCAAAATTGAATACCTCAACTGAACGAAAGAGCTTCAACATTAGGAAACATAAGGAATTAAAAGAATCGAATGGGAGAGCTCCGTAAGACTAGCCATAATTTTTTTCTTCAAGAGTGTACCATATTTTTATAGAAGGCAGAAAGAATATTTACAAGACGCTAGCTTCGAGTGCGAACATTCGAGCCAGCCAACTCCAAACAAATAGACTAAGGCTACTCTCTCACAAAACGCTGAAGACCTCCAACACCTATCCCTGCAGTCCTAAGATCCTGCACCTCCCTCCTGATTGACCTAACATACACTAGTAATATACACATATTCCTAAATCATGTTACTACCTTCATAATGAGTAGTAACATAAGTGTGGAACATGCAAAGCTTCATTTATTAGGTTATAGACTCATATTGCACTGGAACATGTGATGTTACAGTAACTACTAAGTTACTATAACTACCTCTCTCCTTATTAACTCACTGCCACATAAGCAAATTTGCTGCGTTGGACTCGATGTTACTGCTGAAATTACTCCCACTGTGGCTAGTCTAAAGAAATTATTGACCGAGTCAAAATCAGATGACCTAATTCTAAATTAAAGACCTTAATTAATTATGAGGCCTTGAAAATAGAAGCATGATGTATAGCATAAAAGAATTAAATGATAGAGTTTAAAAGAATTATTGATCCAGTAAAATCTGGGCAATCCAAATCCAATTTTGAAGATCTCAATGGGACGTGAACTCTGATTCCAGGCTTCCGGTGGGAAGGGAGGTTACGGCAATCACCAGTCAGCTATACGTGCGATAGACAGTGACGGTTTGCTTAGACGGATCCAGTTCGTCCTCGCCATTTTCCAGGTCACGGTCAAGTGGTCAACGTTATCCCCTCGAACGTTCGTCCAAATGTATATACGTCCTTCTCCTCATCGGTGCGTATTTGAAGGGGTCGAGGAAACATCCGGTGTCCTTCCTACACATTAAGCCAGGGGCACGTACCGACGACCTTATCGAGCACGCCCGCCCATGTCCGCTTCTTCTGCAGAAGATGAGCACGCACACAATTTTCCTTTCAAGATATACCTCATCCGTATCATAATATAAGAGCGTTTTCGATACTACACCGCCGGATGTTTTCGTGCCTGCAGTGACACGCATGAACTTGCACGATCCATAAGGCTTTAGCGTGTACCATCAGTACATGCAATCTGTCAGATAAACCAAGCATGGGGTGTGTCCGTGCGTGCAGTGACACGCATGCATGAACTTTCACGATCTATACGGCTTTAGCGTGTACCGCCAGTACATGTAATTTGTCACACGGTTCCCCTGATGCAGGTCAAGTCGATCCACCGGGTACTCCGCGTGTGGTACTTCCCCTCCAAGGCTGGCGCGCGGGCGCGCCCGGCCAAGCACCTGACCGGCCGGATCGACCGCCACGCGTACTACCAGGTACGTATGCGCGCGCGGGCGTCTGAATTAAGCAAACCCCACCAAACGCATCGCGACGACGCACGGGACGGAACCGGGGGGCACGCACGGTGTGTTTCGTTCCTCCGAGAAGCTAACTCAAAAGCAGATGGATGCATGCAGGTCCACGTGGCCCAAACTTTTTTTCTTTCAACACAGTACAAACGCAAGCACTCATATATAAGCGTATACACTCATCCCTATAAATTCATCCTATCCATATGAGCATTTCCGAGACTGAACCAACATACCATCTCGAGATTTTACGAAATCACCAGACGCCTCGTAGCCGACGAGACGTCTTCTCCCACCGAATGCGCATCGTCAATAATTCTGCAATAAATCCAGGTTAAATGCTTATTCCATCTGCTCCTCTCTTTTTGTCCCGATGGTAAAAGAGTTTTATTCCATATGAATGAATAGGGTTAGAGTAAGTGAACTTGTGCACGAGGTTAATGTCGCAGCAGACATGTACCAAGCCTCGTTCGTGGGCAAATATACGGTGGGCGCCAGTGTCGTGTTCCTCCTTTTTATTAAGCTTTTCTTTACAGAACCGAGGGGGGAGAGACGAAGCAGTGGTGACCGAGTCGGAGTTGGGTGAAAGATTAGTTAGTTAATTGTACCGCATGCATGCATAGCTTGATTCTTGACTTGTCGTCCACTGAGAACTGCATATTCTTGTTCACAGGCCAGTTTATTAATCATACTCGGATCACGGCAGTACGCTGGTATAATAATTAACAATAAATCCGCGATGGTGACTTGTCCACTTTAAATATTTTCTGCGTTCTGTACTAGCATGATCGCGCAGGAGAATAGGGACAAACTGCTGGAATATACTCCCTTAGACGTTCAGAGACAGTGAGAAAGTGGAGGATTATTAGATTACTCGTCAGAGGAAAAGAGCTGGAAGGAGGGAGGGTAAAGAACTAAAGATGACAAATAAGACGAAAGCGGTGGCGGAATCGGATCCGAAACAGAAACAGTAAGCGAGAGATGCACGGAGATACCCAAGATGGAAGTGCATCTTTAGCTTTTACTAAGTTTTAACCCAAGTTGGGCGTAGTTTTTGTGTCTAGTTACATCCATGTACCTTAGTCTTTAACACCGGCCGCGTCTCTTAGAGTAACTCTTATTTTTTATCCAAACGAACGAACCACATAACACCCTGTAACAATGGTCTTCTTATCATAGAATGGAAAACAAAGACTGCATAGGTAAGACACTACTGACATCGCATGCAAGTGCTAGTGGTCTCCTCCTGCATAATTAGACTAAGAAACATAATGAGTTCAGTGCACAATAGTTTGGAAAGTCTTTTTTGACAGACTATACTAGGAATTTTGTGAGCGGATATTCAAAACGTCCACCAGGAGCATGTGCTCCTAAATAATTTTGCTAATGTAAAAAAACCAGAAGGAAAATCAACATGCATTTGTTCGGGTCCTTTTGGATTTAATGTATGTAATTTTCATGGAGAAACATGCGACATGTGCTAAAAAAAACACACTTATCATTTCAAAGATTGCTTTTTAGAGCACCAAATTTTGTTTTGTTTTTCACATCACAACATAGGTGGTTTCTTCATGTAACTTTACACGCAAAAGAAGAGGACACACACAAATATGTCATAAAAATGGTAGGAGTTTTTAGAGATTTGTTTTTACCTCTTTACTGTTTATCTGGGAGCCAAAGCCTATCCCTCTTTTGTGACACCTATTTGCCATGCTTGAGTATGCTAATTCAGAATGTTGTTTTATGCAGCATGAGTCTCCACTTTTTTTACCCATAATTTCCACCTTTTCTGCTTTATGCACAACTAAGTCTTCTAGAAGTACTGAAAAAATATATGCTAGTACTCCTTCTGATCCATATTAATTGTTGTTGATTTAATACAAATTAATATTGACTGGAGGGAGTAGTATATTTTGTAATAGTGGCCAAAAAATTTCTACTACTTCATTTAATGTTTTATCTCACCTGGTTTTTAGATACTCAGTATTAAATACTACTACATAATAAATGAAGGTGAAGAGATAAAAGATTACAATCATGCAATTGAAGCGAGAAGAGCCGAACATATGTGTTTAGTTCACAATAGTTTGAAAAGTCTTTTTTTTAAGAATACACTACAAACTTTGTGAGTGGATTTGAAATGGCCCCCGAGAGCATATGCTCCTGTATGTAAGAAATAATTTTGCTAATGTGAAAACCCAGAAAGAAAATTGACATTCGTTTGTTCGTGTCCTTTTGGATGTATCTAATTTTCATGGAGAAAATGCGGCGTGTGCTAAAAACACACTTATCACTTCAAATTTGATTTTTAGAGCACCAAATTTTGTTTTGTTTCTCACATCACAAACATAAGTCGTTTATTCTTCTAACTTTACACGCAAAAAAGGACACACACACACAAATATGTTGTAAAAAAAATTAATAACTTTAATAGTATACTTTTTGCTATTTTACTGTTTATCCGGGAGCCAAAACTTTGTCTCTCTTTTGTGAGATCTATTTGCTATGCTTGAGTATGCTAATTCGAAAATTGTGCTATATATGAGACTACTTTTTTTACCCATAATTTTCACCTTTTCTGCTTTATGCACAACTAAGCTTCTAGAATAATTAAAATTAATAAATTATACTGCTCCGTGCGATTCATATTAATTATGCGGCAATTAATATGGACATTAGGGAGTAGTATATATTTTTGTATTAGTTCCCAAGATTTTTCTACTACTACATTCAATATTTTATCTCACCTGGTTTTTAGATACTCAGTATTAATATCAGATATACTCCTACATAATAAATGAAGGTGAAGAGATAAAAGATTACAGTGATGCAATTGAAGCGGAAAGAACCGAAAATATAGGGGGCTCTCTCTAGAGAGAGAGAAAATAGGCGCCCATGCGGCCGTGCCCAATAGCGTTGCCCCTGTACCTTTCAGCTTTATAATCCCCCCACAAATCTCCCCACTCCCTCGCCCACCCTCGCCCTCCCCTCTCTCTCTCCTCCCTCAAAACTCTCTCTCCCTCCCTGAAAATTCTCCGCATACTGGGTGCCCAAGTGGTGCCGGCATCTCGCTGAGGCGAGAGAGAGAGAGAGAGAGAGAGATCCTCCCCTGTTTCCACTCCCCCGCCGCTCCACCGACCCGCCCTCTCCAGCCCCGCCGCCGAGCCGGGAGGAGGAGTTGTTGCAGCTCAGCTCCGCCCCAGCTCAGTCCCCGACCCCGAGCTGATCGTCCCGCCGGCGGCGAGATTCGACCAGGTAGCTCCCGTTCCTGCAGAATTCCGGTTCCTTTTGGGCGCGGGGGTGGTGATCTGGGGCGCTCCAGTGGTGGAATTGTGTGTTTTGCCTTTTTCTTTCTTCGGCCGGGTTCGGCCCCGTGGGAATTTTCCATTCTGGGGGCACGAGGAGTGGTGTTTACGCCTTTTTGTCTGCTTGTCTAGTGGTTTGATCTGTCAATTGTGAGGACAAGCCCAGCCCTTTCCTCTTTTTCACCTAAATCCTTGGCTAAAACTGCTGTGCTACCGCTGCCTGCCCGGAGTTCTTGAGCTCAAACATGTTCAATTTAATTCTTAACTAAGCAGTATTGAATGCCTCTGCTCTGCTGAATTTGGGAAGGAAGTAATTCCAATCTGGTGTCGTCTCCAGGTTTTTCAGTTGCAGCACAATAAATACATGCTTGTTTTCATAATTTTCTAAAAAAGTTTGTCTTGATCGGCTTCTGGTGTTATTTGATTGCACAATTCGAACAGTCCCGTGTGATTCAAGCAGTAGAACTCAATAAATTTTCTCAAGAAAAGTACTGTACTAGTAGTACTCAATTCGTAGTCTAACAATTTTCTTTCTTTTTGTTTGTTCTTGGCATAATTCAGGGCACGACGGAGAGATGTACCGGGTGAAGAGCGAGAGCGACTGCGAGATGATGCATCAGGAGGACCAGATGGACTCGCCGGTGGGCGACGACGGCAGCAGCGGAGGGTCGCCTCACAGGGGCGGCGGGCCGCCTCTGAAGAAAGGGCCCTGGACGTCGGCGGAGGACGCCATCCTGGTGGACTACGTGAAGAAGCACGGCGAGGGGAACTGGAACGCGGTGCAGAAGAACACCGGGCTGTTCCGCTGCGGTAAGAGCTGCCGCCTCCGGTGGGCGAACCACCTCAGGCCCAACCTCAAGAAGGGGGCCTTCACCCCCGAGGAGGAGAGGCTCATCATCCAGCTCCACTCCAAGATGGGCAACAAGTGGGCTCGGATGGCCGCTCATGTAAGTGCGATGCCACGCTGATTCACTGCTTTACTTCATGTACTAGTAGTAGATGTTTACCAGTAGCAAGTCATGCTCTTTGTGTGCTGTTCTTGTGCCTTGCATGATTTCTTCCAACGTCATGGTCACATGGGGTTGAAAGCTACAGATTTTTATTTTTATCTATCGATGATTGTTCTGAAGACTATATTTTTTATGTGATGAACTGTTCTGTTTAATTTATATATTGGAACTGTGTTAATATTTGTTGCACTTCCTGTTAGTTACTGTTATTGCTCTGGATGAAAGACTAACTTAAATGATTATCTAGTGCAGTTTAGAAACTAATCAAACTTGGGCTTTAAGTTGGTACATACTGTGTTCAGCTCTACTATTCTAGTTACTGAAAGCTAGTTGGCCTGACTTTTAAAAGGTTGAAAATTGACGGCATACACCATGTATGCCTTAAATAGGCAGTCCATTTTTGACCTTGACTGCGTTCAAGGGGGTCGCCTGCTAGTCTGGCATCTATGTTTGACAAATTGAGTATTAGTTAGCGGTTATTTCAGTGTGACCAACTAGTTTTTTTTTGTTGATAGTCTAGAGCAGCTACTAATCAAGTATGGAATATTATGACACAGTACTCAGTCAGTTTTTCTATCTTTTAGCATGTAGAGTACTTGCTACAATTTGGACATAAGCCCTACAATTGATCCATGTTTTTCACACCGATTCCATTGAAAAATAGGTTATCATGTACAGTATATTACAGTACTTTATCCTGTGTAGATGATTCTTGTAAAAAAAGTTCACCTCTTGTTGTTATTATTGACTTTGAGCACCTCTTCTCAGTTGCCAGGGCGTACTGATAATGAAATAAAGAATTACTGGAACACTCGAATAAAGAGATGCCAGCGAGCTGGCTTGCCAATATATCCTGCTAGTGTATGCAATCAATCTTCAAATGAAGACCAGGGCTCCAGTGATTTCAACTGCGGCGAGAATCTTTCCAGTGACCTTCTGAATGGAAATGGCCTTTATCTACCAGATTTTACCTGTGACAATTTCATTGCTAATTCAGAGGCTTTATCTTATGCACCACAGCTTTCAGCTGTTTCAATAAGCAGTTTGCTTGGTCAGAGCTTTGCATCCAAAAACTGCGGCTTCATGGATCAAGTAAACCAAGCAGGGATGCTAAAACAGTCTGACCATTTACTCCCTGGATTGAGTGACACCATCAATGGCGCGCTCTCCTCGGTCGATCAGTTCCCAAATGACTCTGAGAAGCTCAAGAAGGCTCTGGGTTTTGACTATCTCCACGAAGCCAACTCTAGCAGCAAGACTATTGCACCATTTGGGGGTGCACTTACTGGCAGCCATGCCTTTTTAAATGGCACCTTCTCTACTTCTAGGACCATCAATGGTCCTTTGAAGATGGAGCTCCCTTCACTCCAAGATACCGAATCTGATCCGAATAGCTGGCTCAAGTATACCGTGGCTCCTGCGATGCAGCCTACGGAGTTGGTTGATCCCTACCTGCAGTCTCCGACAGCAACCCCGTCAGTGAAATCGGAGTGTGCGTCGCCAAGGAACAGCGGTCTCTTGGAAGAGCTGCTTCATGAAGCTCAGGGACTAAGATCTGGGAGGAACCAGCAGCTTTCCGTGAGGAGTTCAAGTTCCTCTGTCAGCACGCCGTGTGATACCACGGTGATTAGCCCAGAGTTTGATCTCTGTCAGGAATATTGGGAAGAACGTCTGAATGAGTATGCTGCTCCCTTCAGTGGTAATTCACTCACTGGATCCACTGCTCCTGTGAGCGCTGCGTCGCCTGATGTTTTTCAGCTCTCCAAACTTTCTCCTGGTAGGTATATTTAAATTGCTCATCCATTCTTGAGAATGAAAAAATTGTCCTGAGTTACTTATATGAATATCTATTTGCAGCACAAAGCCCTTCGCTGGGATCTGGAGAGCAGGCAATGCAGCCTGCATATGAGCCTGGGGCTGGGGACACTTCGTCTCATCCTGAAAACTTCAGGCCAGACGCATTCTTCTCCGGGAACACAACTGACTCGTCCGTCTTCAACAACGCCATAGCAATGCTCCTGGGCAACGACATGAACACGGACTGCAAGCCTGTTTTCGGCCACGGTATCGTGTTTGATACTTCCCCGTGGAGCAACATGCCACATGCTTGCCAAATGTCGGAGGAATTCAAATGAATTCCTTGCAACCTTGAGCGGTATCGATGGAGATTCTTGGTATCCCTCACCCTGATTGTTTTGAGGAAAAATTCAGAGAAAGCCTCATCGATTGTATACGCTGCTAGCTCGCCGTCGACAGGTCCTTGACGGCGTATGCAGCTGCTACCAGAAGTGCTCTCCATGCAACTAAGCCCCCATTTCCCCAATAAAGTTGGTGGAGATAAGCCGGTTATCTATTTTTTGTTTGTTTGTTTGGAACTAGAGACCCTTTTTGTCATCTCTTTGGCATTTATTTGAACAATGTAAGATCAGTTACTGCTTTTTTCTGGTGTACTCTCTCTTGTTGAACATTTCCCCCCAAATTGTCAATCGATGGTAGCATCTTTTTTCTTGCGCACAGCAGTGGAGTATTTTTTTTTTCAGCTTGGTCTATTACTTATTATCCATCAAGCATTCAAGCTGCTGGCTAGTACTATTATTATTCAGTAGCTTGCTCCGTGAAGTTTGTATACATGGCTGCCGATTCAACTCTGGCTGGCCTACAAACAAACGTCTGAAACATGCGCTGTCGTGTTTGCCAGCTGCTACAGAGCATGGTGGCTAAAACTTGGTGATGTTCCCTGTCGAGCCATTTGCCGCAGAAACAGAGGGAGCAGGGCAAGGCAGGGAGAGGGGAGGGCGCACACTATTTATGTGCCGGCGACGTGCCGTGGATGCTCCGGCCCTGGTAGAACGGAGACGCCGCGCACCACGCGCGCGATGTGCACGGCATGACTCGCGTGTGGTTCTCTCTGCCCCCTGCCCGTTTCCGCGACGCACGGTTCGGGGGCTCTCCCCTCGCTGCTCATACGGTGCCACGATTAATCAACACACGCACGTGCGGATGTGCCTAGATTTTGTCCCCCCGAAGGGATAAAGTCTTCCCTGAAAAATATAGTCTACCATGCAACTGATTTCTTCCAGGCCGTTCAAAAAAAGGAAAACGATTTCTTCAAGGCCGATGCTAGGCGTCGGACGCCATATTCGTCCGGTCGCACCACAGCCTCACGATTCAGTGCATAACGTCCATTGGATCGATGGTCCCCGCAACAACAAAAGGTAACACAAGCAGGGCGTTCCCCATAACGGCATAGCTCGGCACCAACACCGTCGTTCCGCTCACAAATCGCCGCCCACCACGCTCAGGGCCGGCGACACCCACCTCAAATAACTGCCATCGGTTGCACCACCGATCACCGCTCACCGATCCACGAGGCCCCCATCACGGTTGCTTGCACTGCTACGCCAGTTGCAGCATCGGGCGCGCTAAGTTTCAGGTATTTTTTTTTGAAACCGAGGCAAAAGATTTGCCTCATATATTAATTAAGCAGAGAAGAGGTTTTGTTACAATAGGCACCCTTACACGGCATGAGTGATTACTCGCGCAAAATAATGGCCCCTAATTTCTTTGCCCCGGCGGTGACCCAAAGCTTTGCCTCATTGGCAATGGAAGCTAGTAAAATAGGCGGTGGAGCACACTTATGCCGGAAGACCCGTGCATTCCTTTCGTTCCAGACGGTCCACGACACGAGCATAGTCATCGAGGCCATCGCCTTTCTGTCGGGTACTCCTGTCCCGGTCAAATTTTCCCACCAACTCTTGACTGAAGCCTCCAAATGCCATGAAGAGGTGTCCAAATGCGTAAGCTGAAATTTCTCAATGACCATCTTCCAAAGGCGGATGGTGTAACGACACTTGAAAAAAAGATGAGGACCGCTCTCTTGCTCCCTTTTGCAAAGAGGGCAAAGACCCTAAGTTTCAGGTATGACGGTTGCTACATTGGGTGCCTCTGGTTCCAGCTCGCCGTGTGTCGGTTTTAGCTCGTTGTCGTACTGGTTCCATCTTGCCGCCGTGCCGGCTGCAGCATTGGGCACTCCTCCGGTTGCAACTCATCATCGTCCTCGTAGCATCTTCGGTGGCCGGTTCCAACTCCTTGTGATGCCTGTCGTAGCACGCTTCGCCGTCGTACCAACTCCTCGGCACGAGCCATAACACCCCTTAGTGGCTAGTCGCAGCTCTCGGTGGTGCCCGTCGTAGCACTTTGGTGGCTGGTTGCAGCATCTCAGTGTCGCCCCTGCCACAGGTTGTAGCATCGTCGGTGGCTACTGCCAGCTCTTGGTGGTGCCCGTTGTAGCATCTCGGCCGCCAGTTGCAGCATTGCTACATCGCCTGTGTGGTCCGCATGGCCTCCGATTGCAGCTTCTGGTTTCGCCGATCCTAGCGTTTAGCTTCACCGATTACAACATCGATGGTCGCAGGTGTGATCGCTTGCCTGCCGATTACAACTTCATATTTCATTGGGCGTAGCTTTTAGCTTCACCCCAGTAGAAGCTTCTAGCTCCGTCGGTTGCAACACCTTGCAAGTGCTCCCCTCAGCCTCACAACACCGGTCGGGGTGCTCGCGGCACCACTTGCCTGCTCCACCCTGCAGCCTTGACACCCCTCCCTTTTGTCGTTCGCAGCTCGTAGGGCCTTGGCCCGCAACAGAAAAGCAGTAGGAAGCATGGCCTGCGATGCGACATGGAAGAGAGAGAGAGAGAGAGAGAGAGAGAGAGAGAGAGAGATGAGGATGAGGATGAGGAAGGGGAATGAGTGGACGAGAGCAACACTGGCATAATGAGATAAGGGGGTCCAGGAAGAAAAGCGGCGCGTGGGCCCAACCGTGTTTAATGCTTGCATGTGATCGACGAAAATGTGGTAGGTCGACCGGTTATAAGGCTTTACGGTTCTTCAATCCTTGACTCCCACAAAAAGTCTTGAGGAAATAAGAGCATTACATCTGAACTTAGCAAATCCGCCCCCCTATATGTCCGCGGGCATGCCCGCGGACGCAGGCACGCAGCCAGACCACCCCTCATATGTCATGCCCGGCATCCACATATCTCAAATCCGTACTCTCAACATGCAAATCCATGCACACCCATCATACACGCCAATGTCGCACGTAAATAACAAATGTTGATACTGAAAATACATAGTTCTTACATAAATTCTATTTTAAGTGCACAACTCAAACATTAGCTCTTTGGTTTCCATTGTGGGTCCACATATGCTCCACAAGATCACTGGATAGCTGCGCGTGCACATGATGATCTCGAAGATTCTGATGCATCTGTAGAAAGTTCATAAGCTGGTTTGCATCTTGATCTTCCAGGATTTGAACTTGTTCTCCAAGCGCTTCAAAATCATTGGTTTGGGCTACACCATCACCCTCATCCTTGACAATCATTTTGTGCGAAATAACACAACATGTCATTAGTTGTCACAAAGTTTCTGACTCCCGTGTCATTGTAGCTCCACAAATAATTCCCAATGAGCTTGAAGCACTCTGAATGCTCGCTCCACATCCTTCCTAAATACTTCATGCATTGTTGTAAAGTGGCTTTGTTTGTTTCCTTCTGGTTCATATATGGTCTTGACAAATGTCGTCTGTCGGTGTCAAAACCGCGGATCTCGGGTAGAGGGTCCCGTGTAACGACCCGAGACCGACACTCCAGAAGACTTCCAGCTATTCTGAATTTCGTCGTGTGATTTTTTTTGCTTGTTGCATTTCATCATCGCATCATTCGCATTGCATCGGCACTCTGTGTCGTCATTATTTTCAAAACATGCATCCGTTAGTAGTCGTCACTTCTCTCCGTTGTTTTTGCTGTCCGTTCCGAAACTAACCGCACTTGCACTGTTCGTAGTTGCCGCTTCTTCCTCGCCTCTGTTGACCTTTCTCAGACCAACCATTCTTTTGTTGTCCGACCGTTTGACCCTCTCCACACAGTACTCAAACCCCTCGTGAGCGCCTGAAAACCTTCCCCGAACCCGACCCGCACCGCACATCACCCCCTTAGTTGTACGACTCTACAGAGTTATTATCGAGTGCCAAGGGTGATACCTCGTCAGCACTTCTGATGTTAACCTTGTAGTGTAGCTATTCGGTCGTGGTCATCGAGGGTGATTCCTCCTTCACCACCCCCGATAACGACTCTGTCGTGCAACCCCTCAAGTGTGGACCATCGAGGTGATTCCTCCAAAGTCCACTTTGACAGTTACATCGAGTGGGAATCCATTGAGGGTGATTCCTCGAGATTCCCCCTTGCTGTTTCGGACACACGGTTACTTTGACTTACCACAGAACCATGATGACATCGGGTCGGCCCCGAGGGGTACCCGCAAGTGATGTGAAGTCGGGTTGATCTGGAGGATACATGCAAGTTTTCCATGCGGCGCGGCCAGGCATTCTTAGCCGTTGCTGCAAGTCCGTGAGACGGGGCGACGGGACCACGTATCATGGATCATTGATTGTTACCGCACTACCAAGACACTAACGGTTTGGATATTTGATCTGAGTAGGCCTTTGGCCTTTTTCGCACTAACCACCACGCGAGAATAAGTATGGGCACTCTGCGTCGTATGTATCAGCCAAAAGCTCAACGAATGTCAGCAAATGGAGCGGCGCGCGCCGGGTTGGACTGGAACACCTCGCTTGTATAAGGGGGGCTATGTCTGCTCACCGGCTGCGTACGCAACATGCAGGAGTGCAAAGGGCGATGGGCCCAAGACCCTGCGCGCTTAGGATGTAGATCAACGTGTTGGCCTCTCTGATGAGCCTAGGTAGGACTACTGTGTGTTGATCGGCTGAGGGCGGTCATGACCTGATGGTGTGTCCGGCCGGAGTTGATCGAGCATGTTGGGTAAGTTGGTGCACCCCTGCAGGGAAGATTATCTATTCAAATAGCCGTCTCTACGGTAACGGACGCTCGGAGTTGTATCCCGATCGATACAACTAGAACTGGATACTGAATGCTGAGGCATGTTATGGATATGTGGCTTTGGGATTGCTTTCTCGCAGGGAGTCGAGGAAGGATCTCTGGGCGTTAATGTTGCAACATACTTGTTTAATATGCTATTCTTTACTCTTCTACATGTTGCAAGATGCTAGTCTTCGATGGGACTAGCTTTTCCCCTTCTATTCTGGCATTCTGTAG